TTTTACATATATAGAGAGAGAAACTTATCTCAAGGAAATGGCTGACGAATCCCAAGATTGGCAGAGAAGCTTCTAGCTCAAGTCCCAAAATTGGAGGTCAGATGATGATGAGACGGATCCAGTATCCAGAGCAACAGCATTGCTGGAACATCCATTTATATACTGGAGGCAGGCCACATTCCCAAGGAAATTCTCTTTCAACTGATTGGCTGCTCATAGCAGATCTCATCATGGGAGTTGATTACATCACTACATAACTGACAAATTGCACCATTACATAACTGACAAAGTACATCATAACTGCCAAACCACTGAGAATCATGGCCCAGCCAAGCTGACACATAACCTTAACCATCATACCAGAATCAAAGTCAGTACAAAATATCATGTGCCGGCTGATATGATGCACTAAGGACACAACAGTACTTCTGTGATATTCCTGCCAAAATCACACAACCTGAATCTAGTCATGAGGAAAAAGGAGACAAACCAAACTGAGGGACATCCATCCTACAAAATAACTATTCTGTACCAGCTGCCGTCGAGTCAATTCTGACTCATAGCGACCCTATAGGGCAGAGTAAACTGTCTCATAGGGTATGGTTTCCAAGGCTGTAACCTTTACAAGAGCAGACTGCCACACCTTTCTCCCGCAGAGTGGCTGGTAGGTTCGAACCACCAACCTTTCAGTTGGCAGCTGAGCACTTAACCACTGTGCCACCAGGCCTCCTTAACTATCCTGTACTCTTCAAAAATGTCAAGATCATAAAACAAAGATTAAGGAATTATTTCAGATTTGAAAAGACTAAAGAGACATGACAACTTAATGCAATGTGTGATCCTGGATTTGATCCTAGACCAGAATTTTTTTTTTCTTTTGGTATAAGGGACACTTGTAAGACAGATGACAAAATTTTAATGAGATTTATAGCTAATTTTCTGACTTTGATGATGGAATGTAGATATGTATGAAAATGCCCTTATTTTTCAGGAAATACACACTAAAGTATTTAGAGGTAAAAGTGCACCATGTCTGCAATTTACTCTTAAACGGACCCAGAAAAAACGTACAGAGAATAACACAGATACGCATTTAAAATGTTGACATTTAGGATATACAGGAATTCTTTATACTATGCTTTCAACTTTTCTGTAAATTTTAAATTATGGGAAAAGAATTTGAGAGCAAGTACAGACAACTCTTTAGAGGAATTTTACGATAAAGGGAAGTAGAGAAATGGGGCAGGAGCTGGAGGGGATTATTTGTTTAAAGCAGCTTTGAGCTGTATACTGATGACAATGATCTAACTGAGCAGGGGAAACTGATGATGGAGAAGAGTGGGGAGAATTGCTGACACAATGTTCTCGTGTAAATAGAAGGGATGGATCCAGCGCACAGTGGAGCAATAGCCTTAGACAGGAGCATGCACAGCTCATCCTAGTAATGGGAAGGAGGCAGAGCAGATGGGCACAGATGCAGGTAAATGACAATATGATGGTCGGAGTCAAGAAATTCCCATCTGTTTCTACTTTGTCAGTGAAAAGGGAAGTGAAGTTACCTGCTGAGAGTGAGAATGGAGAAAAGTATCCAAAGTTTGAAGAAAAGGAGGTGTGTAATAGTTGTCTAGAAAAGTAGAAATGCAGTAGGATTGCTGGACAACACTAAGGGTCCATTTGAAATGACAATGGCTGTGAATTTAATGCAAGACCAATCAAGAAGGATACATGTTTTCCTCCAGCTACACTGAGCAGTGCAGGTGCAGGCCCAGAATAAAGAGTTGGATTTACATAAATGATGCATTACCGGGCAAGTACAATAAAGGGAGAGAGGGACAGGAAGTGATTATAATGACCCATGAAATTCAGACTAAGAAAGAAGTGAGAACATGACAGATAATAAACAAATTAACTTCTTTCCAATATAGTGGTAAGTGCTGGGAAAGAAACAAAATAAGACAGTGTGCCAGAGAATGACTTGAAGGGGAGGGACTACTTGAAGACAAGATGGTCAGGAAAGCCTCCTGTGAAATGGTGGCATTTAAGTTGAGACTTAAATGAGAAGCTGATGAGGAATGGCCCAGCATGCTCCAGAAATGAGACAAGCCTGAGTAGCTGGAACACAGTTAAGACAGGCAGGGAGTTGTACGAGATGAGGTCAAGAGGAAAGCAGAGGCCACACTATGTATGTATGGCCTTGTGCTATGATAAATTACAGTAGGGTTTTAAGCAGGAGATTGTTGCAATCTAATTGATGTTTTTAAAAAGATCACTGGTTACTGGCTGGAGAACTGGACAGTACTAAGCCCTAGGGACACAAAGCAGACCAAGACACTGTCTCTGTCCTTCAAAGCACGCACACATATAGCACGCACAATGAAAGAAGACTGGAGATTTTTCACTGTTAAATCTGGGTGCTGGGTACACAGTACAGGATGTGGTAGTTCCAAATACTATTTTCTCTACTTTTGTCTATGTCTGAAATTTTCTGTAAGTTTTTTAAATTATAGGCAGAAACAAAACAAATTAAAGCCTACTGGCGCGGATGTGTAGGAGGGGGGTTGTACGTACATGTGAAATAAATAAATAGATCATTTCAGTAAGGTGTAATAAAGATCAGTTAATCATAAGTGGTTAAGAAAGTATTCCCAGAGACAGTAATAAATAAGTAGACAACAGAAAAAATGGGGGGGGGGGGCAGCACAGAGGAAGATTCCAGAACAGTAAGCACAAGGGCCTTGAAGCAAGAAAGTCCACATACAGAGGATTTTATAAAGAAGCAAACAGGATCAGAATTTTACTTCAGAAAGACTAACGGCAAAGAGACCAGATAGGAGATTGTTGTTATAATCTAAACCAGAAATTGTGCCCTGTTCCACTTTGGAACTACTGAGTTGTGGTACCTGTGGGAAAGACAAGTTGGTGATTAACCCCAGATGGATGGATCTCTTTTTCTCTCAAGCTCCAGGCCTATTTACATACCTTCATTTCTCATCTCAGCTAAATTCTCTGAGGGAAAGGACCATGTCTTACTTACCATCTCAAGATGAGGAACAGTACCTCAAATACTCAATAAATGTTTGTTGGACAAAAGTCTATGGGAAAGCAAAGGAAACTCTTCACACAGTTCCATGTATTGAGGATCCAATACATGAGACACCAGTAGGAAAAAATTCAAGGCAGGTTTACCAAAAAATGTGGTACAGGCATTAAAGGGGGACCCTAGTTTCCCATATCACTCTTAGCTTCTTTCCTCAAAATTCTACTAAGTTACTTTGGGAAAATAAACAAGACATTAAGTTCATGTAGCTGGCCTTGAGGGAAGAAAGAAAGTCTTAAAAGACGATAAAAGAAATCACACAGTCATAGGCAGGATAGATAATATTTCAGAAATGCTTGAGAGAAAAGACATTTCTGGGCCTGTTTCGAGATGAGAACAGAAAAAACCACCATTGCGATAACTGAGGAAACAGCAGGGGAAACATGTGAATTAGAGAGAGATTTAGAAGGAAAAGAAAATATGCAATCAGCTCCTGCTTCTGAAACTGGCCTGAGATAGCAGTGGCGTGATTTTGTTACCTTCAACTGAGAACTAATGTAAAAGACTATAATAAATGAGGTCGTCTCAGATAAATCTGGGGCTAAGATTATTGAACCACCCAGCAGGTTGTGACAACCCTCTTCCTGGAAGAAAGCATAGGGCTGGGAAGATCACGGTAACAAAGGTTGGACAAGGAAGACCTCATGAAAAACAGTCTTGAAGG